CCCAATTTGGTCTGGGCCCGAGGTGGGCTTAATAACTGGCGACTACTGTATTGGAAAATATTTGCATGCTACGATAGCGATACTGCCTGGGGTTTTAATGGAACTAGGGTGGTAAGTGTCCCACTGCATACCCCTAGCATCTTCAAAATCTGGGGGCTTTTAAGTTTACTATAACCGTTGACAATTGAATGTGTAAACTGGCGGAGAAAACGGGACACAACGACTCCTGTAATAGTGAGGATAAAGGTTTTATAAGTGAGGTGAACTAAACTGACAAATATCTGGTTTCGGAGTACAGGAGTAAAACATTACCGATATGCCATTAGCTTGTTATAGCATATATCGCAAAGGCATAAAATGTGGACATGCTATTTGAAATACGGAATATTGGAGCCATAAACGGAGGGAAATACACAAAACCGAGGGCATTGCTTACATAAAGTTGACGAGCTGATCACAGTCTGTGATCATGCATCAGAGTTGAGGAGAAAGTGTACGGGGATATTAAATCAGCCCGTTCTTACCGGTATGAGAGAATTAATCAAACTTTTACAAAATTAGGCATGTTGCTTGCAGCACTCGCTATAATGTACCTTAAGTTAGCAACTCCTGACCCTAAGCCTATGTCTAAAATCTAACCATACCTCAAATAACCTGCTCTCAACCCTGGCCCTAGACGAAACTCTAACCTTAATGCTCATCCTAAGCACAAAGCCATCCATATTAGCGGCGGTCCTATTCATCTGTCTTGTTGGGAGAAGCGACGGGAATGATCGATCCCCACTGATGTTTTTTTGAGTTTGAGCATTTTATGGAGGCGTAGGTAGATTGAAATGGGGCGAAGGCACTTTAAGTAGGGCACCTCATATACTCTTAGTCCCAGCACTTTGTCCTACAGCAATGGTGGTTATAGGGTTTTTGAGGATGGGGAAGTAGGATAAGCAGGGAAGGACATTTGTAGAAGTAAGTGGAAAGAGGAAAAATGTAGTTAAACTCGTTTCCCGCGGCCGCCTGAAGTAAGTTTTACGCATGTAAATTAAAGATGTGCGCGGCAGTTTGCGGTAAGTTGGACCTCAGGTAAGTTGAAGTAGACAACCCCCTAAGCACCATTTCTATTTTTTAGGAATTTTGCGAAACCTGCATTTTGATAAATGGGTTATTCCGTAATGCCTTAAACGATATAACAAATTAGGAAAATCTGCAGATATAAATCAACAACACTTCTAAATACAATAAAATGAAAATGCATAATGCGGTTATAAAGGTATATTTCACTGCTTATCCTAATACCCCACCAATAAAACTTCTAAATTCATCGTTTTGTACGACAAAACGCTGAAAATAAGGGTATATGAGGTGCACTTCTTAAACTATTGTTGTCTGAAATGTTGATTTTATAATTTTAAATAGGCAGTTTTACATATGGAGTTGTGGTAGACGGCGAGGCTGGGATATTTTTAGTAACAACCCTCATACGTTGACTCAGATTAGTCAGCTGCTACAGTAAATGCTCTGTTCGGTGAATATCACATTGAAATTACAGACGCCAAGAGGATAATTGAATCGCCGTGATAGGGTCATTCTTGCGTTGTAGTCTGAGCTCGTGTGCATTTGGTAGGCGGAGCGGTTTGACCAGTGGTGGCAGCATTAGTACAACATATAGGCTTAGATATGTTGAAGTCGGAACGGGGATGTTCATTCAAGTCGTTTCTACTCCAGACTGCACGTCCACAGTGCAGGCAAGCGTGAAGAAATTGGTCACCGCTTAGCACGTTTCCCAGTGGGGCTTCAATTTCCTTGTTGCTGTTAGAAGTGCAGTGATGCAGGCGAAGATGCCCACCAATAGAACCACTGTGACATGCACAGAAGCCACAAGCATAAACGGCTTGTGCCAGCAATGACAGAACATATAAAGGATTTAAGTGCCCCGATGAAAAGCTTGGGGCAGATGCCGGGGCTAAAGGCCACAGACTCGCCTTGCAACCAGGGTGGATATGGAGATTGATATTGCTCAGGGCCCAGTTTGTCTTGCCGGGGTACTGGAGCCAGACGTCCTGGAAATGCACCTCACCCCACTGAGGCCACAGTGGACTTACGCTGATGAGTGGCAGCATGACTGTGCTGTTCATTGTGGCATCCGCCGGTTCCTCAGGTGGAATGTTGATGAACTCCAGAAGGCGTTCAATGGAAACCATCTTAAGGGGCAACCGTATAGAAAGGTTGAAACCAGAAGGGTAGATATTTACTGTGCGGCACCCGCAATGGCAAAAGTGCCCCAGCTCAAGTGTCTTACAGAATTCGTGGTTTAAGTATTAATGCATGGCTTCCGTGTGGTTAATGCGTGATAACTGCGCAATAAGAAATAAATTAAAACCACTCTAATTGTTGTACTGAACTAAAAATATAGGTGATGAGGCTGTAGAAAGGACAAAAAGACTGGAAAGAAAATTTATGGATCAAGAAAGCAGTTATAAATACTCCTATTGGTTAGCATAACGAAGGAAGTGTTTAGATTCGATCTACTGTAGCTTTGCAAGTAAGGTTTTATGATTAATATATTCCCCATTATTATTCCTTATTATTATAAACACATTCCTTACTATAAGTCTCTATCACTGGACATATTGACAAGAAGATCGGGGGGCGAGGAAGGGGAAGGGCTACGAACACAATACGATAATCGTACCTGGATCTCCACTTCCGTGCTCTGTCGAACAGCCCACTGTAATACGCCGATGATTAGCATCAGATTGCTGAGGAAAATTGCCATGGTCCCGCTCTGCATATCTTTAAGGCGCAAAAACATTCACATCTTTAAAATGAATCCGAAAGTCTGAGCAGAAAATAAAAAAAATCTGCGCTCATTCCTTAAACAAAAAGTCATGCCCATAGTCGGATGAATGAAACTGAGTACTGTGGGTTAGAAATATATGTGAAACTCGGACTAGAAAGAACAGAAGTTTATTTTTTATTCGGTCTATTAGATATTAGTAAACTGTAAAAGATTGCGCTTAAAAGTAGATGCAGATTCCACGGTTCTTCGAATAGAGAGAGAATATTGAACACGCTCGATATCCAATGAACGTAGGTTCGAGGCCCAGGTCCACAAGTCCGAGTAAGACTAACTGACAATGGCTAATAAACCCTAAGT